AGAGAAGCTGGCTGAAGGGTCTGAAGAGATCACCCACTGAACCCCCCCCCCCCCCCAGCCTGGTCATCTTCCCTTTCCTGAGCCTTGAGGTAGGGCATTTTGTGCCTCCGGCAGGTGAAATATGTGTCCACAGCGCCCCCTGCAGATATAAGCTAGAGCTACAAATACTGGAAGGCCCGGGTTTCATTTTCCCTAGCAATTGTGCAGCCTCAATTTGGAGTGAGGCAGACAAGATCTAGAAGAAAAAAAAAAATCAAAGAAACTAAAAATAATAGCAAAGCTTTGGGAACCTCTTTTTTAAAAACAACCTTTTTAAAAGGTTTATTTATTGATGCATACAGAATTGGGGTCCAGGCCAGAGGTGCCGGGAGTGAGAGACGTCACCAGAGAAAGCTGTGAGCAGAAAAGGCAGATCGACAAAGTACACTGCTGAGGGGAGCAGCAGGCGAGACAGGAGAGGTCTGCTGTGCCATGTGGGTCACCCCCGCGGTCGAGTACCCAACTCACACTGAAGCTGCTGCAGCCAGCTGGCAGTGCTGCGTCCTAACACTTTGCACCACCAGGGAGGGCCCTGGGAAGCTCTATATTCCAAGTGCAGTTGTAGAGTTCCTTTGTTCCCCAAATATTCCCATTAAAAAAAAAAATCCCGTCCCTCCCTGGCGGCGCAGCAGGTTAAATCACAGCACTAGGAGGCTAAAGCCATTTCAGCATGAGTTCAATTCCCACTGCCCGGGAGGGGACCCACATGGCGCAGCAGACCTTCCCTAACCACCCCCCCACTACTCCTCTCAGCAGTGTACTTCCTCAGACGGTCTGTTATGCACCCCACTGTCTCTGGTGAATCCTCTCACCATCCTGCACCTCTGACCTGTACCCCAGTTCTGTATGCATAAATAAATCTTTTAAAAATTAAAAAAAAATAAGGATTATCATTATAGCCCAAGGAGGATTATCATCATAACCCTGTTGTTGGTGAAGTTGAAGCTCAGAGAGATGAGTCCCTACCATGTGCCAAGCCCTGGGGGCACTTAGCAGACATGACTTACTGAACCCAATTCTGAAGTTGCCTTTACAAATCAGATTTCACAAATTAGGAAACTAAGGCTTATGGAGAGGCAGTCATTTTCTCAAGTGTCCTGAAGTCAAGCTTCAGAGCCCTCGTTTCCTGAGCCTCAACTTCCCCATCTGTGCAGTGCACGTAAGGACCCTGCTCGTTCTCTCCTTAGCGACTGCTCTGATAACTGTGTAAGATACGTGCCTTGGAAGTCCTGCTACAAAAGTGCCTGGCTCATTCTCTCACTGAAGAAATGCTGAGCCGCCTACCACATCAGGCACATCACTCACCAAAACAGATGGCATTTGAGTAAACTCAACCCGACTTGAGAACAAGGGGAACCAATCTGTGGGTGCTAGGGCTGTTTTCTCCAGGCAGAGGCAACAAGTGCAGATTCCTAGCTTGTAGGACAGCCCTGTGGCTGAGACTGGAGTCGGAGATTGAGGTGATGGTGGAAGTAGAGACCAACAACTCAAACTGTTTAAATGGGGACTTGAATGGGGGACTTTGAAAGCTCAGGTATCAGCCAGGGTTGTTCCAGCAATGACTTGGTTCTAAGTACTGGCCAGTGGAATGACCCTCTGCTCCTTTCCTAAGGCCAGTCTAAGGCAACAGGACTAGTACTCTCAAGGGCGCAGGGTTTTGCAGGGGTCATTTATAAAGGACACAAATGGGAGGCAGTAGCACCCCAACTTAAATTGAGCCAGATGAACCATATATTGCTAATTGTGTTATACCAGCCCAAGCAATCTCACTTATGAAGCACAGAACCCAGTGTTCGTCAAAAATTTTAAGTGCACCACCCCAACACACAGCAGCCACTTCGGAGTTAGATGACCCAGCCCGAGGTGATGCACATGAGTGTCTCATGTGGACACCTCTGCTCCCCTCAGCAGTCTACTCTGTCCATCGCCTGTTCTGCCCGCTGCTGTCTCTGGTGAAGCCTCTCACCACCCCTCCACCTCTGGGCCTGTACCCCACCTCTGTACATACTTATTTAAGTGCGAGGCACACCTTCTACCTCCTCTGCTCCACATTTCACTTGATAACCACTTCATACCCCAGTTCAGTATTTTTATTTCCAATAACCAATACACGAGAACTTTCTGATTGATTTAAAGAATTTATTATTCTCTCCAGTAGGATGTTAAAGGCTAACTCCTTAATTTTTCAAAATTGGCACAGGCTTTCAACAGTCTTCAGGTCACTTAATAGCCTAAGGGATTCATTCAAGCAGAACTGTTAACAATTTCTCCACAGTCTTCTTTTCCAGTTTTGTATTCCATTCCAACTCTGTAAACAGAAAATCCCCTAAAAAAGAGAAAAGCGTGTTATAATCAATGTTTCCTTCAGCCGAGTAGTACTACTTGGGGGCATCTGGCTAAGACTTCAGGAACTAAAGTAGATAAAACCAAGTACCCTGGCTAGATGAACCTCCTGCCTCTTCTCTAATCCACTAGTCTATTGCACCGCCACTGTCAAAAATGTTTTAACCACATTTGGAAGCAAATCCAATAGCAGAAATTACATATTTAAAATTCTTAACTTCAGACAACACAAATGCAATTCATACTTTAGTTACGAATGTGGGAGAAAGTGGGATAACTTGGGATAACTGATATCAACTACTTTGTTGCTGCAAATGTCTCTTGACATATGGTCACAAAGCTCCCTTCATACCACTGTCCTATGATCAGCTTTTACTATGCTTTCAATAAACTGCTCAAGTAGCAGTCTTGCTTGCAAACTTTGTTGTGTCCCTCACTGAGTTACCCCATAAAGAAACACTGCAAGTCTCTAGAGTGGTGCTAATGAAAGCAACTATATCCATTCAAGTAGCATAACTGGGTTCCCAAGATTCCTCGAAGTGGGGAAAATTCAGCACCAACTCACCCTAGACACATCGAATTATCAGTTTACCAGAGGACTGACACGTGGAAGACCACTGATAGTAAGCTCACCTGGACAGACAATGTGCACCATCGCTGCCATCAATCCATTTACGCAGGGCTCCGGACCTGTAAGGAACCCAACACATGAAACCAAGATAAATCACCTCAGTGCTGGGGGTGGGTGCTGCAACCTCAACCAGAACAGACACAGGTAAAGCAGGGGCCAGCGCATCAGACAAAACTGGCTTATCACTTAGTTAGATCAACAGGGTCGATCTGATGGGGAAAAAAGTTTGGTCATCAGCTGCACTGGCCAAATCACAGGATGAGCACAAAGGAGTGGACAGAGTGGTTGCTAATTCCCTCATTCGCCAGAGCCTCTACATTTCACCACGTGGGCACTCTTCTGACAGACTTGCACTTACCAATCCTTTCCCAACATCCGGGTTCATCATGACCCCATTCAAGGCTGCCTTCTGCCAAGTCAATCTAGATGAAAATAGTGAAGAAAAACAAGCTTTTACCTGCTAGATGCCCTAGAGTGGGGTGGTAGAGGCGCAACTAAAGCTGGCATATCAGATAGAAACTGGCTTAGAAGTTAGATCAACAGGGTCGATCTGTCGGGGAAAAAAGTTCAGTCATCACACATGCCAGCAGGAAGCTTTTGGCTTTTACAGAAAAGCCCTGAACCAATAAGAGTTGGTGGCTTTGCTAGTGTATCTACAAATGATTTCCTCCAATATTGCAGCACTTCAATGTACTATCACTGGCAATTAATGGAGAAAAAAAATCAGCCGAGGGTAGCAACCCTGCCTTCCAAGCTCACATTCCATTCTTCAGAAGTAGTAGGGACCATTGTGTCTAACATACAAGAAATATGGGCAGATGCTCGGCTCTTACTTAGTGAGCTAAGTTTACAAGTGAGATGTTAGATCTTCCTCCCTTAATAAATCAGGCCCGTGTCTTTGCCTGGACTTAAATTTGAAATCCAGAAATTGCCCTTTAAAAAGGAACCTATGAAATATTCAAAAACTAAGCACCTGCTCATTTAAAAGTAAATTCCTCTCTGGGAAAACTCTTCAGCCTGTTCTTCAGGAAAATTTAAAATATATACTTTAAAGCATACTTTTGCTAAGTATGGACAAAATAAAGCCTGCAGCACATATCCGTAAATACCCAATCCTAAGACACAATAATTTGCTCACGTCTTCCCCTCAAAGCACGTGCTTCCTACAACATGCAAGGAACAAAAGATCACCTTAGGATTCAGGAACCCGAGGTGCGTAGCTGTCTACACCGGGCCCCTTCGGAGGCCCACGAGCAGCCCCCTCCTCCAGCGCCCACGCTGTACCCCCTCATCGCGTCAACCTGGAAACCAACAAAGAAAGGACATCAACCGCCATCTTCCCACAGTCGGAAAACAACATGGCCGGACTTTCTGTGGCCGGGGTATCAGATCTAACTGGCAAAAGTTCGGAGACATCGTCATTGTCGATCTGATGGGGAAAAAAGTGGAGTCATCATTTACACCGGCCACGGCGCCTCGGGTTCGTACACAGGAGCTGGTTTCCCCCAGCTCTCCCCAAGACCAGAGGCTTTTACAGGGTCAGAGCAAGGGCAGTCATGGCAGGGGATGGCACAAAAACTGAGCATCAGTTATTTCGAACGGGGAATGGGGGAGGATTCCCACTCACCACACACAGGTGCCAGAAGGTGCGACCAACCCCGAAAAGCGCCGCAGACGCGAAAGAACGACAAGCAGCCCGGGCCTCCCTTATATAACAGAGAAGGCTTCGGCGCCTGCGCACTGAACCTCAGGCGCTGACCCCTCACCCCGCGCCGCCCGAGGCTTTCTGGGAAATGTAGTCTCCGAGCCCCCAGCCGCGGCCAGCTAATGGTCGCTGAGGCGTCGGCCAGCTCCGCCCTTTCCCCCTGACCCTCAGGGCTCGTCGGAGTGCCACCATGTCGCGCCTCACACGCACCAAGCCCCCCACTCGGCCCCCCGACCTTCGGGACCGGCTGAGGCCCTCGACGGCCTGGGGTAGAGTTAACCCGTCCCCCGCAGTCCCCTCCCCTCAGCCGCGCCCGCCGGAACCCGCCGGCCCGGCCGCTGGAGGGAGCTGAAGTAACACCCCCGACCGCCGCCCGGTCCAGAACCCCGACGCCGGAGTGTCGGGCCCCGGAGGCGCCCCAGATCCCCTCCTCCGCCCTCTCTTCTGGTTCCCCTCCCTCCTCCCTTCCCGCTCTTCCTTCCCGGGGCTGCCAGCCCGCCCCTTCGCCCCGCCCAGTGTCTGCGGGAAAAGGAAACCGAAAGTGCGCGGCTCCGGGCGGGGCAGGGGACCTGCTGGGCCAGAGCCTGACCGCCCGCCGGCGCGGGAGAGCACCTCGGAGCCGGTGAGTCACCTCCGACCTGAGCTCCGGCCCTGCACCTGCCCCTGCTTGCTGCGCCCCCGGGCCTGCGCTGCTGCCCCTGCCCGCCGTCTCTGGCGCCCTCCTCTGCGTCCCCCCCCACCCTCGGTCACCGCGACGCCCCTCATCACCTTGTCTGCGGCCCCCACCATCGCTTCTCCATCCCCAGAGCTGCGATCACCCTCCTAGGCCACCCCCGGTACCACCCCAGCGCTCCTGGCGCCTCCGTCACCCTCCTCGGCGCCCCCGGAGCCCGACCACCTTCCTTGGCACCCGCGGAGTCCCCGTCACTCTCCTCGGCGCCCGTCGCCTGGGCCCCGACATCCCCTCACCGCCTCAGCGCCTCCGGGGTCCTCATCACCCTCCTTAGTGCCTCCATTACCCGTTTCTGCACTCTGACACCTCTTCTGCGCCCCTATCTTCCATCTTAGAGTCCCTGTCCCCTCTCAGTGCCCTCATTCCCCTCCTCAGCACCCTCGGCTTCTTCATATCCTCACCCCCATCCTGGCACCCTCTTTAGCCCGTCAGCACCTCTGTTGCCCACCTCCGTACCCAGTCACTCCTCCAGCACCTGTCCTCCTAACTCAGCATCCCACACCTGATTCTCAGAGCCCCCCAAACCACCTCGTCCCTACCCCAGAGCCCTCTATCACCACCGCTGCTTCCAGCGTCATTTAGTTGTCTGCCCCCCCCACTCCATCTCTAATCTTCACCTTTTGCCTCAGCCACCCACCCCCTCCATCTACCTTTGTCTTCCCCCGCCCGTTTATTCAATCCCTCCCTCCACAGAGAGCTCTCCCCTGCTGTTTCCAGTTCCTCCCGCACTTCTGTAAGGTCCCCCCAGATAAGTTCAGTCCCACCCTCCCTTATCTCCTTAGCTCTCCCTCTCTTATCACCCTACTGCACTTAAGCCTTGCCGTGACATGTTCTTCCTGCCGCCTTGAAGCTTCGGCCCTCCCTCCCACGCACCCACCAGGGAGTTTCCTAGGTGCTTGGAACCCTTTCTTACACCCTGTCAGGATCCTGGAGACTTCCCCCTTAAGTCCGCCTCAGACCTCTTGCTTCAGCTTCTTACATCCCACCCTGATAATTGCCATTCTTATCTGATTCCCCCCCCCCCCCATGCTACTCTGACCACCACTACTTTCTTTTTCCTGCCCTTTAGGTCTTGATGGCCACTTTAGTCAGCTTTGTTTATGCTTCCTCTTTCTCTCTGCTCCTCCCTTTCCTTGCCTTTTTCTATTTCCTTAACTTTATTTTACCCCCCAAAATTGGTGAGTTTCTGTTTTAGTATTTTTCAACAAGAGGAACAGTCCCCTCCCCCCCCCATTTTTTTTTTTTTTTTTTTTAATTTGGGGTGATGAGAATGCTTAAGTTCTGCTCTTAGGTCTTGATGGCCACTTTAGTCAGCTTTGTTTATGCTTCCTCTTTCTCTCTGCTCCTCCCTTTCCTTGCCTTTTTCTATTTCCTTAACTTTA